GAGACAGACATCATAGATGGTTTCAGAAGTCTTGTATAACTTTTGTTTATACACATTTCAACTACTGTGGCATGCTGTAAAATTATTATATTGTTAACTAATAATAAGAAAACATTTAATAACCAGATGATTCTGTTTTTCACTTTATATTTATTTTATCTTTCAGACAATGCAATTTTTGGATAAGATAATAAGAAAACATTTAATAACCAGATGATTCTGTTTTTCACTTTATATTTATTTTATCTTTCAGACAATGCAATTTTTGGATAAGTGGTGGTCTTACAAGCAGTTTCTCTGCTGGAGTACTGGAGTATATATATATATATTCTTGAATGAACTTGGCTACAAAGTTATGGTTAACTTTTAAAAATAGATTTGTATGGGTTAAAACAAAACACAATTAATATGGTGAAATAATATCTACAATAAAAATGTCCATTTCAGAAATATTTTCTCAATATTCCCCATAATAATCATATAAGGCTGGGCGGTATTGTTATATAATGCTGGTTTGCCTCAAATTACTAGCACATACAGGAAAGATTGGAGTCATAGATTAGTTCTCAGTTTAATGTTATTGTGTTACACTATCAAACCCTGTTCACATGGTAATCTACCCAAGTTATATTTTAGAGGTTATCTGCACTAATTGCCACCATGCCGAACAGGACTCTTTTTGAAGCTGAAGACTTTTTTTTTTAAAGTGGGGTTGCATTTATATAATTTTCCACTCACTTGAGGTAAAGTGAAAGAAGCTGGGTGGTAGCATTTAAAAAAAAAATCACATTTCTGCTAGGTTTTGAACCAGCATCCTCCTCTATGCTAGGTAAAGCTCTTAGTCTTTTTTTAGCACTGATGATAGATATAGAAGTCATTAGAATGCAAAATAGCTACCAAGATTTTTTTTTTAATTTTAAACCTGGTTGTTGTGCTTGCATATAACTTTGTCTATATGAATTTTATTTTACTTTGTATAGATATATTTTCATACACGTGTGTGTGTGTGTGTATTACACACATATAAAGTGATTGGCCATTGTTTTCCTGATACAGAAGATGGGAGGGCGTAGCAACAGGAGAATTGTCCAGTGGGAGAACATGGTAGCTTTGGTCTGACCTGAGTAGCTTGAAGCTCTTGCTAAAGAATCTCAGTCTGGATATGTTTTTCTTAAGTTAGTTTAAAGTTAAGCTGCCATAAACAGATGGCAGAAGCAGCTTAAACAATAAGTTCAGATGTGTTCTTAGTCATGTGGAAGATAGCACAGGTGTCTCAAACCCCAGGTATGGGGGATAAACACAAAGGGAGGCATCCCCTTGTAGATATATTAATGGCAGTAGAAATTATGGGGCTGCTAACTCAAAACACAAAGTAGGGCCATGGTTGGTGCGAAGACTCAAAGGATTTCTGGGAGCAAAGACTTTTCCCCAGACTTTCACTTATAGGCTCAGCCATTCTTGTGCTAAAGCAAGACTGGGTAAGGATGCAGAGTGAAGCACCATTTCCTGCCTCCCATTCTCCCAAAGTTTGCACCAGAGGACATCTGCAACCCAGTTCATATTATTTTTTCATAAACCTATTTTATTTGAGCTGACTCTGTCCTCACTGAGCACCATTAGATTGTATTTGAGTAATACAAATTTCAGTGTAAAAAATTAACTTGTTGATCCAAATAGAGAGGTATGTATGCCATTTAGCCACAAGAAAAACTTTAACTTTATTGAAACAAGTTCAAAGGCTTTTCTGGACAGGAATCTCAATCCTTTCAAGCCAAAAATAGCCCTTTGAAGATAAAGTTCCTTCTTTATCTTTCTATCTTAAAAACCTTTCTGATATTATGATAGGAAAATGTCCCCAGCCTCTCAGATAAATTCCACTAAATGCTTGCCTCTACGTTGACCATTTCAGTCTGGTATATCAGTCTTAATTAAATGATTTGAGACTTGTCACGGAAAGTATAGTTACTTTTTTATCCTGAGTAAGTACTGGCACAGTCATTGTTTCTTACATCTTATCTTCAAGTGCCTTCACTCTTCCTGGAGCTGAAAGTGATTTTAAAAATACTGATCCATCTCCAGGGATAAGTCAAGGTAAAAAAGGATGGAGGGATAGAATTCACAGCTGTGGTACCTGAAGCCTAGAGCCACAATTAAAACTGCAGACTAAGAAACAAATTTGTAGGTGGGTTTACTGTCATAATTTGGTGAAGGTGCTGCTGATAGTTATCTGTAGAAATTCCTACAGTTCCTTGGAGAAAGGGAATGGTTATTATGCCAGGTTAGGTTTAGGTTCTGTGAACAGATAACTCCCACTGTGGGCCCATGGTTAAACACAACAAAAAACTTTTCCTGGGAACAGGATAGCTCCAAGTTTAAGAGAATTTCATGTCAGTCACTTCTCAAAATATTTTATCTCAATAAATATTATTTCTTGGAATGCAGAGAAACAAAAGGCATGTGCCCCGATTAATAGCACAACACTTAAGCCAAGAAAATCTTGATAGCAAAGAAATACAAACATTCTTTGCTTGTAATAGTCACCAGATTATTATTGTGCTTTTTAAATCAGTAGATCCAACCAAGATAAACAAAACCTTACTGGACCTCAAAACCTTAAAAACTCTTTGAAACTACAATAATAAAGGCAAAGAGACAGGAATTTGTTAAAAATGAGACAAAAAACATGGTACAAAATAGGTTTAATATGTGCCTCTAAATATTTAGATTTCTATACTGTTGATGTTCTTGGCTAGAAGTGTGATGTTGCAATATTGTATCTCAACAGTAACAAAGTTCCTTACAGAAAAAAATGCTGTGGTCAGAATAACATTATGTAGATTACTTTTATGTAAGATCCTGGTTTCCATGCTGGTCTGCACTGGATGACCACAGAGCAAAGTTTATCTGTGGATATGCATACAAAGCCTTGGCTGTTGTGACATCACAGATCAATCCTGATCATTTCTGCTTTTAAGACATCACAAAACCTTGTTTCAGCATAGAATCTCTCAAACTGTGAATGGCGCAAAGGTTATTTGTCTTCTGAAACATGATTAGGGATGAAAAGCAGGGCACCTAAGCTGAGTCTGTCATACAGAGACAAGCTGGATGTCAGTTTTTTTCCCTTAAGCACCAGTAAAGAAATGCATCTTAAAGATTTTGTACATTGAATGTAATCAGATGCAAGAGTATTTTTATTTATCATGCAGATTATTTGCATTACAGAATACATACGAATACTCTAAAGGAAGAAAATGCTCTCTGCCTCCAGGATGACAATAGTACTGGAGTCACCTACAGTACCTGCAGCCCTTAACCCCCTTTTTTGGCTCTCAGACTCATTTCTGACCACAGATGTTGAAAACTGGGCACAGTTTCTTGTCAGACAGAAGTGGGACACACTCAGATGACAATTAACAGCTCCAGTGGCACTGTTAATTAAAAGCGCTCTAGAAGTGCTCCATTTTGACAACTTCCAGAAAAGCAGTACTGTACTGTATAGTCAGAGCAACCCGAAGTTCCTGCAGAAGGCTATTCCATAAAACCTACAATAGAGAAGCAACATCTCCTATCCTTGCCCCCTCTAATATCATGCTAATGGGAGACTATCAAAAAAATTTCCTACATATATACTGATGATATACTATGTCTTGTTGATAATTATGCATCTTCTATACCAAAGTATATTGATATTGACAACACATGGACAGACTCAACCATAGTTTCAATTGGGAAACTCTGAGCATCCTAGACCAAACTAAATT